AAGAACAACAATAATGAACTTATCTTCATGCTCGTTGAAGCTTTTTATAAGGCAGTAGCCGCAATTCCATATGATAACCTCTAACACAAAGGGAAAAAAGAATAAGAATAAAAAGCATAGATTACACAACATACAATTTCTTGCTTAATTATAAAAAATCCGAACTAAAACAGCCTAAATGTACCTCATACAGGCACCCAAACCAGTCGCGCCCAACCTTTGCGAAAATACCATGGCAATTGAACCCTAGCATTCTCGCACTCTCGAACCCCTTTATAAAAATGAGACAACCTAAACCAAGAAAAAAATTAAGCTAGAAAAATCTGCACCTAAATGCAAAAAAATTTAACGATTTCTTACCTAATTTGATCCATGGGCGCATAGAAAGTGAAATCGCATGTAGAATTTGACGGTATGTGTAAGGGCAGACAAAATTGGAGATGAAAAGAGACCTGAGTTATGAGCGCCCGACTGCCTTTTCTTATCCGTAAAACAGCGTCGTACTGAGTACAATAGAAATTATATACATTATTTAGGCATAACAAAATGGAAAGAGTATTCTATTACCTTATAGCCATAGGAACTCAAAACGATCAACTTCACCAGAACCAATGAAAGAGGTTGCAGCTACCAAATAGAGGAATACCTTTAAAACAATAATGACAAAGAACAAAGAATTAGAGTTAGCCAAAATATGTATACCTAACACCTTGCAAAAAGTAAATACCATTTACCTGCACACAAATGGCAAGATAAAAGCATATAACTCAAAGCAAGTGCAGTTTTAAAATGATTGCTAGAAAGTTATCCTAATAAGAAGAAACAAAAACAGAGGATCTGCAGCCCAAATAAATACTTTTATAATTTCACATAGATCATAATGATATTTAACTTTATCTATAGGCAAGCAAACAAAGTTTAGCACTTTGTTTGAGAATCTGGACAAAATAATCACTGCAAACAGAAAAACTGACAAACAAAAGAGAATAATATTGCATGTGTAGGTTCTGAAAACATCAAAGTCTATAACCCAAACAAATGGCTTTATAATTTCATATAGGTATAAATTGCAGAGACTTCATCTGTTTGTAAACAAACAAAATACACTATGCTTTGCTTTAGAAACTAAACAAATAAATCTACCATACATTCAAAAGCCAATAACTAACACCAGATATATTTTAACAGTTAGTTGTTATTGTTATTTGCAGTAGACCTCTTCTCATTTGTTAGGAAGAACGGGAAGACCACTTATTCTCACACAAACAATGTAGATTAATTTCTAATTTGAAAGCTCAACAAACATGCTAACAAAAACATTAATATTTTCTTAGACAACACTATGAAGACCAAAAAACAAAAAATGACGTACTCTGCACATAAAATTACACCTTAACTTTCACTTTTCAAGTTGAAGAAACAGGCTCATCGAATACCCACAAATCAACAAGTAAGTAGAAGATGATCTGTGTAAGTGTGTATTACTTAAGAGCAAATAGTTTGTATTCACCGAAAATATGGTACCTTCTTGCTAAGTGAGCCTGAAAAGTGTAAGTTTTTCCTTTCACTTGCAAAGTAAATATGAAAAAGTAAAGACTTAAGACTATAAAAGATGTAAGAGTTATCTCAATATATTATATAATAATGCATAGAAAATACTTAGTCGATGCAACATCAAATCAATATGCATCTGGCCGGCCAAAAAGAAGCTACACACATGCTATATCAATAAAAAATCTTTCAAAAAACCCTGCAAACATATCTGAAAAGATTTGTAAGTCATATTCACAATTATTACTTTCAATGTTTTTTAAACTTTTATCTTATATAATATAATATAATGAATAGTGCAGATGTACACGTATTAATGTAATTGGATTTGAACTTCACCATCCGACTTTCTCTCTCAAGAAAAACTCCCCAGATCCCCAGTTCGATCTCTCTCGGCTTCCTTCAATTCGTGACCAGATTGTGCTCTCTCAGCCGTCGTCCGGGCAGCGTCGGTGGACAGCCTCCACCACTCATCCACGGCTCATCACTTTCGCCATCGGCCTGACGCCACTGGGTAAAGGCTAGGGTTTCGGCGGACTTTCTTCCACTCGATGGCCGCCGGAATTCAGTGGAATCGGGGCTCGGCGGGGTGCAGAGGTGCGTGGATGAGGCTTGAGTTGCTCGAATCTGCTCTGTTCGGGGTGTCTCTGAGTGCCCGGCTTGGAAGTAAGCCCGTCTCTTTTCTTTCCGGTTTCGCTGGGGTCGGGTCGCCGACTCCTCTTATGCGCGGCGGGGATGGGTCGGGTTATTTCTTGTGGGCTGGGATGATTGGATGTCGCTTTGTTCGGGCTGGGTCGTAGCGGCTGAGCATAGACGCCACTCTACCCCTTTCTCCCCTTTCTCGGCTTACGAGTTCGTGGGAGGCCGACTGTTTGGGAAGCAGGCTAGTGGTGATAGTCGGTCTCGGGACGGTGTCTGTTTGGCTAGTGGTGTTAGCCGGTGGGGGGAGATAGTGGCTTCTTGTGGCTGGAGTGCGGGTCGATTTGTCGGTTTGTTTTTTAGGCTGGGATCATCGTCTTGCTAGGCCTTATGCAGTGGTGGGCGTGGTATCAGAGCTTCGGAGCTCTCTTCGGAATCGACTTAGTCTGTCGTCCTCTTCGGATGTATTTGCTGAGGGAGGCTGTGTTGTTAGTTTAGTTGTTTTTGTTTTTAGTGTGTTCGTTTGTGTTTGTCATTTGTGTCGGTGATTGTGTTTGTAATTGTGTTTTAGGTTTGGGCGTTTGCCCCTGTGAGCCCGAGTGTCAACTTATTATCCTGTTGGGATCCGACGCTCGGGCATTACTCTGTTGGGGTCTTTTTTAGTTGTTTTAGTTGTTCGAGTTGTTGGTTAGTTTAGTTGCGAGTGTTTTATTCTAGTGTTGCTAGTCGGGATTCTAGGCGGTCTTCTGACCTGTCCTCCCACTTTTACAGCTGTTGGCTACTGTGTATTCAGTCGTTGGCTGCTGTGTATTCGCACATTTGTGCTTTTTGATTTATAATATTTCTATCGTTTCGAAAAAAAAAACTATCAATTTAGTAATTCCAATAATTACTTAATTAATATCCAAAGCCNCAACTATTTCTGACCTCCGCGTATAACACTGAAGCTGAAACAGACCCAAAAAAAGAATTAAATTAACAACAACAATAATGCACTTATCTTCATGTTCGTTGAAGCTTTTTATAAGGTAGTAGACGAAATTCCATATGATAACCTCTAACACAAAGAGAAAATAGAATAGGAATAAGAAGCATAGATTATACAATATACAATTTCTTGCTTAATTAGAAAAAAATCCCAACTAAAACAACCTAAATGTACCTCATACAACACCTAAATGAGTAGCGCCCTAGCATTCTGGCACTCACGCACCACTATCAAAAAACGCGACAACTTAAACACAAAAGAAAAAAAAAATATAAGCCACAAGAATCTGCACCTAAATGAGAAAAAATTTAACGATTTCTTACCTAATTTGAACCACACTCGCATAGAAAGAGGAATCACAGATGGAATTTGAGAGTATGTGAAAGGGCAAAGAAAACTGGAGATGAAAAGGGACCTGAGGTATGAGCGCACGATTGCCTTTTCTTTTTCGTAAAACGGCGTCGTATTGAGTACAGTCGAAAAACGTCATTTTACTTGCAAAACGACGTCGTTTTATTTTCAGACGACGTGGCTTCACAGAATTTCAGCGCCACGTGTCGAAAAAAGAGGGCACAACCTTCCTTTTTATAAATAAGAGTATAGATATTACAGAGAGTGTTTCCTTTCTGCTCTTCATTTTCTACACTTACTCATTTAAGCATCGGAGACTCTTCATCGGAGACCCCCTCCGGTGTGAGAGTTCTGCAGGTTCGAGGACGTTTAACTGGCAACCAGCTCGAGATCCAGGAATTTCCAGCTCGTTCTAGCCGGTCGGGGATCTTTTTTTTATACCAAATTCCCTTTTAGCCTCAGATTAAAATGCAAAATCCTCGGAGGATCCTCGCCCTCAACCATCTTCAACCCCTGCAACCACATCAAAAATTGCGAAACCATCACATACTGCCCCTCCTTCAGCAACGAAATCTTCGGGTTGGTCTCAACATGGGCCGCCCTCGGTTTCCCAACAACCGTCATGTGGGACACTAACGTCAGCCCACAGGGCAGCACCATAATTTTCTTATTCTTCAAAAACTCCTCCCACCGACTGATACGGAGTGCGGGCACGACTCAAGTTTGGTACTCCCTTTGCTGTCGAACACCCGATTGCTGCCATTTTTTTGGCTAACTCGAGCTCCCGCCAGATTTTTGCGGGTTTCCAACGCGTCCTTGGAGGCCTTCGAAATCTCGGTGTTGGGCTCGAATTCGCTATCCCGACGGTGAGATTCAAAGGGAGAGCAGCGGTTGGAGGATTTTTCCTGATGTGAGGATTTTGCTATGTCGGGGCCCGATGTAAGGTTTGATATTATCCTACGTACAATCCATAAACAGAAGAGAAATTGGATTCAAATAAATTGAAATGCAATTTAAAAATATTTTTGGTTTTATTTGAAATATATAATTATGTTTAGATTAAGAAGAGAATAATTAAACATCTTTTAGTAAAATAATTTAAAGTTTATAATGTTATCTTCTTAATTTTTTAAGTAAATGTATTTTAGTATTTACATAAGATATTTTTTGGAATTTTTATTTAATTAATTATGAAAATAAAACATTTAGGTTATGTTTGGTAGACAAATAAACTAGCTTATAGTTTATTTAGTTAGCTTATAAGCTCCCTGTTTTCAAATAAGCTCCGTTTGGTAGGACGAACTTTTTTAAAAAACTCGAGCTTACTTGATAAGCTTCTTTGGGTAGTTTTTCAAATAAGCTAGTTGAAATTTTTATGAGCTAATTTTATCAAACACTTTTATCATATAAACTACTTTTTCAGCTATAAGCTACAAACTAAAAAATTACTGATAAACTATAAACTAATTTATCAGCTAATTTTACCAAACATAACCTTAGACATCCATTAAACAGGCAACTACGGTTAGATAAGTAAATTAAGCGTAGAATGACCCAAGTCACTAACTCCGCAGGGCAACAGACAATCAACAGCCATATGACTATTCAATTCTCAGTCAACTCTTCCATTTTTTTTTCACACCCAATTATTATACTATGCATTTCATTATTTCCCCTACATAAGATAGATTCTTTGTTTTTTCGTACCTGGACTTTTTTCTTCCTTTGCTGCCTTAGTTTGTTTATTCCCTTTTCCTATTTCCCGTCAGCTGCCACCTCTTTCGCTCTCTCTGCTTTCCCACCTTTGGTGTACTTCTCGGGGGAATTTGTGATGCGGGATTCATGGGGGAATCGGAAGTATTATTAATTAGGTTTATATTATTTGGTAGGATTTGTTGATGTGCTTTTGAAGCACAGGTGGGATTGGAAAGCTTTTAACATCAAGTTCTTGGGATCTTTTACGAGGCTATTATTTGAGGTAATGAATCTGAATTTTGTGTTCTATTGGAATCCCATGTATCTGGTGAAGTGAATAGAGTTTAATGTTGGTTTGCTGGTGGGATTTTGATTGTGTAGGTTTTTGAACTTCACTTTTTGTTTTCGTTCCTTACAAGCTTTTGAAGTGTGTCAATGTTAATTGGGATACAATTTGTGGTTCTTTGATAGTTTGATTCACTAGAGACTGGTGCAAAATTGGAAATTTTTGTTTTTCTTGCTTTATTTGGTAGAGAGGCTGAAAATCAGCTTGTTTATTGGCGATCACAAATGTTTATTGAAAATCTTCAGCGAATCATTAGAGAATTACTAGTTAATATATGAGACCAAAGCTTCCATAGGATTCTCATGTGATTTGCGTACTAAACTGATCACCTGCCCAACATGGTCACATTAACCGTGCTTTACAGCCTCGTATATATGATATTTTAGTCTAGCATTTACAGCTAGGCTAAAATATATCTCTGAAATTGTGAGCATTCAGTTTTACTTACATTATAAAAGCCAACTCATACATTTTACAAATGCCACCTCGTTATATTTCCTAATTTTACAAATTGTGCCCTCAATCAGGTAGTACTTGTCAAGAAATTATGAACTTAAACTGTTAGTAATATTTTAAGGGCGTAAGCAATTTTGAAGGAAGGATGATTTTCTCCTAATCCCATTGGGGAATTAACTCGTGGCAGTGGAACGATAAACGAAATGAATGTCGCCTTTACTTGTTATTTATGTCATATTTTTAACACTCCGTACAGAACATTTAGAAGAATTATGTCAATTTTCTCCTATAGGTGAATAATTTAAGTTCATGGCTGGGACTTTTGATGGGAAATACGAGCCCGGTGGTCAATCAGATGACAACTACCAATTCGAAAGATTCCACATAGAACCCATTTATGATGCGTTCATCTGTCCCTTGACAAAACAAGTGATGCGGGATCCCGTGACCTTAGAAAATGGTCAAACTTTCGAGCGAGAGGCCATAGAGAAATGGTTCAGAGAGTGCAGAGAAAAAGGGAGAAGGCTTGTGTGCCCCTTAACACTGAGAGAGTTGAGAAGCACAGAACTAAATCCGAGCATTGCTTTAAAGAACACGATAGAAGAATGGAACGCTAGAAATGAGGCAGCTAAGCTTGACATGGCTCGTCGGTCGTTATCCCTAAACAGCCCGGAGAATGACATTATCCAGGCTTTGAGTTACGTGCAGCATCTCTGTGCAAAAAACAGGTCAAACAAGCACGCAATTAGAAATGCCGAGCTTTTGCCTATGATTGTTGATGTGTTGAGGAGCAGCAGTCGACCTGTAAGGTGCAAGGCGCTTGCGACCCTCCGGATTGTGGTGGAGGATGACTCTGATAATAAGGTTGTCAAAGGTTTGATAATTCACTGTGTATTTTAGTTATCTTTTATTAGCTGCTTGGATAATTACAAAATTAGAAACAACCCCTATATCAATTATGTTGTCATATAAAAGTGCACCCTCGAAATGTGGAAGGATAGGGTTTTCATAAAACAGATTATGGAATCCTTGAAAGAAAGGGTAATGTGGATTTATAAGATGTCATGAGAAAAGTGAGGAGCTATTCTTTCAAAGAAGTACTTCTATAATGTCCTCTTTTAGTTTAGGCAAAGTAGTTATGAAACTGCATTACTAACATCTTAAAAGCTCCATTATTGCATTTGTCCAAACACTTAGGAGGTGATTGGTAAGGAGTTAAAACTGGTTAAAATCAGTTTTGATTGGATTAGTATTTTTTACTCACTTTAACTCAAAATCTAACTCATCCCCACTATCCTCAATATTATCATTATACTTAAATAATATCAATCATCTCTCTCGTATATCACATCAACTCAAATTCACTATTCATACACTCACATATTTATACTATCTATCACTTCAATCATCTCTCACCTACTTTTACATCACATAAACTTTAGTTATATTATTTAATTGCAATCCCCCTCATCTCACTCAATCAACTTTATTGAAAATAACTAACTCTAACTCAGGATGGTTATGACTTTTTACCAATCGCCCCCTTAAACAACTTCCTGTTTATAATGAGATTTGACATTTTATTAGCTCTAAAATAAGAACATATTACAAGATGTAGGATTATATAGGAGTATAAGAGATCCTTTGGATAAGCTTTGGCAAATATCTTAGTCCATGTTGTCATTTGTTTTTGTGACTCACGATTATCTATCTTTTTGAAGGAAATAATGGCTGAAGGAGATACAGTCCGTACGATAGTTAAATTCTTATCCCATGAACAATCCAAAGAGAGAGAAGAAGCAATTTCTTTGTTATTTGAGCTCTCTAAATCAGAAAAACTATGTGAAAAAATTGGTTCGGTGAATGGAGCCATTCTAATTTTAGTAGGAATGGCTAGCAGCAAATCGGAAAATGTTTTAACTGTTGAAAAGGCCGACCAAACACTGGAAAATCTTGCTGTGTGTGAGACCAACGTAAGACAAATGGCTGAATGCGGTAGATTGCAGCCACTTTTGACATTGCTACTTGAAGGTATAATCTGTAGCCTCCTTATTTTACCACTCTTATGTAAACATGTCAATCTTTTTGTTCATCCATTGGGACTAGAATAGATAGATGCTTTGCTGAATGAGTTCCCACCTTAAAAGAAAAAGGAATCAAATTATCTTTATAAATTACGAATACCCCTTAAAATTTGTAGCTTTATCTGTCAATTTGGAACATATATCTGTTTCATTTACAGTAAAGCTAAATCTTGCAGTTATATGTATTTTATTTAACTTTGGCATGAATTTTGAACTTAAGGATTATTAAACTAGTTACCCCTGAAGTTTAATCCAATTACACAAACTCAGTTATCGTTCATAATCTCAAATAACCCTTTGAAGTTTATCCCTTTTAAAGTACTCGTAAAATTATTTCTAAATTTGAAACATATATATGTTTCATTTATAGTAAAGCTAAACCTTACAGTTATCCATATTTTAACCAACTTTGACCGGCCTTTTTGAAGTTTCAGGATTAATAAATAGGTACCCCTGAAATTTAATCTAATCACACAAACCTCACTTATCTTTCATAACCTCAATAACCATTCCCAAGGTGCATTTTTAAAAACATGTTCTAGGAAAATACTTCAAAAAAAAAAATAAAAAAAAATTACAAAACAATTCAGTTTCAAATAAATTGTTACTAAACAATATTATAACGCAAAACTAAACATCATCCAATCACACACCTCAGGATCCCCAGAAACCAAACTGTCGATGGCGTCGTTCCTCGGCGAACTCGCTCTCAACAACGACGTGAAAGTATTCGTGGCCCGAACTGCCGGCTCATCCCTCATCAACCTCGTGAAGAGCAACAACCCCCAGTCTCGGGAGGCCGCCCTCAAGGCCCTCAACCAGATCTCGTCCGACGAGTCGAGCGCCAAGATCCTGATCGAGGCCGGCATCCTCCCCCAGCTCGTGCGCGACCTCTTCACGGTCGGAAACAAGCACCACTTCTCCACGCGCCTCAAGGAGGTCTCGGCCACAATCCTCTCCAACATCGTCAACTCCGGCCACAGCTTCGACTCCATCCCAGTGGGCCCCGGCCGCCAGACCCTCGTCTCTGAAGAGATAATCCACAACCTCCTCTACCTCATCAGCAACACCGGCCCTTCCATCGAGTGCAAGCTCCTCCAGGTAGGCTTGTAAACAAATCAAATTGTTTTGATTCGAATTGCTAGATATTCGATTCGTTAACGATAATTATATAAATTTTATAACCCTACCTTGATTCGATTTGTTTACAACCCTACCTCCAGGTGCTCGTGGGCCTCACGGGCCCAGGCCCAACTGTGTTGGACGTGGTCTCGGCAATCCGCAGCTCTGGCGCAATCGCTAGCCTCGTCCAGTTCATCGAGGCCCAGCAATCGGACCTACAGCTCGCCTCCATCAAGCTTCTCCAGAACCTCTCCACTCACATGCCACAGGAGCTTGCCGACTCTCTGCCATGCCAGCTCGGAGCCCTTGTCCGCGTCATAGCCGAGGGCTCCGGGATAACCGAGGAGCAGGCCGCGGCTGTCGGGCTCCTCGCGGGCCTGCCAGAACAAGACTTGGGCCTCACACAGCTATTGCTTGCCGAGGGCACTTTTCAGCTTTTCATTTCCAGGATAGTGAGGATCAGGCAAGGGGAGACGAGGGGGAGTCGATTCTTGACTCCATATTTAGACGGGCTAGTGAAGGTTCTCTCGAGGGTCACATTCGCGCTTTCTGAAGAATCGGGCAAAGCCCGCGGGCTTTGCCAGGAACACAATCTTGCGGCGCTCTTCATAGATCTTTTGCAGGCGAATGGGCTGGATAACGTGCAGATGGTATCGGCTGTGGCTCTGGAGAATCTCTCTCACGAATCGAAGAATTTGACTAAGCTGCCCGAGTTACCGGCCCCGGGCTTCTGCGCATCGATTTTCCCGTGCCTGAGTAAGTCGAGCGTGATGACTGGGCTTTGCAAGGTCCATCGAGGTACGTGCTCTTTGAAGGAGACGTTTTGTTTGCTTGAAGGACAGGCGGTGAGTAAATTAGTGGCGCTTTTGGATCACACGAATGATGGCGTGGTTGAGGCTTCGCTTGCGGCTTTGTCGACGTTGTTGGATGATGGGGTTGATATAGATGCGGGTATTATGGTGTTGCTTGATGCGGATGGGGTTAAGCCGATGCTCGATTTGTTGCTTGAGAAGAGGACGGATAGTCTGAAGAGGAGGGCTGTGTGGGTGGCCGAGAGGCTGTTGAGGAATGAGGAGATAGCTATTGAGGTGACTGATAATCCCAATATTAGCACGGCTCTTGTCGATGCTTTCCAGCATGGGGATTACAGGACACGGCAGATTGCCGAGCGTGCTTTGAAGCATGTCGATAAGATTCCGAATTTCTCTGGTGTATTTCCGAACCATGGCTAGTTAATCGTGTTGTTAGGTTACTTTTTTTTTTTTGCTTGGCTTTCACATTTTTTTTGCCCAGGTGCCGTTCAAAGTGAAATTAGTTTTGTGAAGATCTGAGAGGCGCAGGTACATATTATTTTCTTAGTTTAATTTTGTTTTTCCCACTATTTCTTTTCTTTTTCTTTTTGCTTTCTCTTTCTTAGAAAACATTCTCAGTTGTGGTTATTGTCAACCAACATTCTGCTCGTCTTTTGACAGATGTATGTTTGCTATATTTATGATACAATGTACAACGGTCTTGAAGTGTAAAAGTTGGGTTTGGGTTGCTGGAAAAATACAACATTGTACTGATTTTTATCAATGATTTAATTTATATATTTCGATATTATAATTTTGATAAATACTTATTTTGGGCCAAACATAGGCATACGTTAGTGCCCTCTAACTTATCATTTGAAATTCTGAGTTTTCATATTTAAATTGATTTTTGAAAAGCAACTTATTACATAAAGCACTACAACGAAACATCTTCTTCGGAACTATTAAACTTTAAAACTTGACTCATACAACTTGCTCAGAAATCTGTGAGATCTCAACTTCTCAAATCTCAAACTCAACGATCATAATCAAAGTCAATCAAATAAAGCATCTCATATACCAAAACTCATGCCGCCATCGCAGCCTCGATGGCCAGCCGGCTGCAACTTTATTTTTTTTATAAATAATTTACAACTCGAGAAAGAAAAAACATACCAGACGAATTATGAAAATTTTGCCTCGGTCTTGGTGAGTATTTTTCATTTTTTCGGAATTGTTTTGGGGGAAGCAACAAGAGAGAGAGAGAGAGAGAGAGAGAGAGAGAGAGAGATTCTTTAGAAAAATCTGAAATTATGAGGACAAAACTGTCCAGGAAGAGCGGTAGGTAGCAATAGGGGACGGTAAATAGCAATTTACTTAGAGAATCAAACAATGGTTATACTACCATTGACATTTTATAATTATTTGATGGACAAAGCAAAATTTACACATATGATCGATGTTGTGGAGTCCATAAACGAATATATTTCTGGAATGAATAAACATATTTGAGTTCCATAATGCATTGAAATCGGATGGTAATTTTGAATATGATCTACAAACGTTAGAGTTCTTGGAGGAACCAACTAGGTGGGAATTGCAAATGACAAATTGCATTTGAAAGTTGACGGTTTAATTATATTATTAAGACCATTTAGGTATTATAATTAACTCATTTCTCATGTATTGCAGTAGGTGCCAGCTTGAGAGAATATTGGTGAAATGGTCATTCTAGAATGAATTTGACATCATCAAATCTTGGTATCACTTTCAAGTTTAAAATGAGAGTTTCAAATAAGATAGTTTCCGATTGATGGTTTGTTAAGAAGATTAGTCTATATAACGTAAAACCCCCATGTCTAAGATTATGGCGATGGTTAAGATTAGTCTATATACGTTAAAAACCTCATCTCTACTCATGATTGTCATTGTTTCCAAAGTTACGAACTAGAATAAATTAAAATATTAACTTATAATGATGAAAATAATACGCAGAAGAAAAATACTATATCTATGAAAGAATCAATAATGTATACATAATCATTTGTATGACTTGCACTTAATTTTTTATGTTGTAGATTTTCAATCTGTTTCAAGCTGGAAACAGAGAAAGCTAAACATAACCAAATGATTTAAAAAGCTTGGTTGAGCCCATCACTTAGGTCAGCTTGAACAAACCCATTATTTAGTGTACCCGCTTACATAAGCTATTTCAAAAGTATGAAAACGTTATGGTGAAGCTGAACAATAGTCGTATTAACAATTGTGGCAAATGAATTGCAACACGCTTTTATGTCAAAGCATGGTTAACATTCACCCAGCCTTTGCCATAGAATGCATGCCATTGACATAAACGTATATGTAAATACAACTTCTGGACTATCTCAACATCTTGCTATGCTACAAAATTATTGGCTATTTTAGCCTGTAAATACGTAGAAAGATAGGTAAAATTTGTTTTCCACCTCAAAGCAAACACAATTCCTTTTTCATGGAATTAGGAATGGTCAACTTCACACGGTTAAACTTTCTTAAGAAACTGGATTAAATACCGCCATTTAGTTCCAACAAAGAACTTCAGCGCATTTCATCTCCTGATTGGAATAATAATATACATTTTTCTTTTTGGTGGAGCAGAGATAAGGAAACCTTCACAACTGCTGATTCTTGTATAAGCAGCAATCAATAAATTTGTGTGCTGCAATCTCCTCTGTACTTACGTCAAAGTTTACGACTGACTCAAAATATCTCTGGACTCTATTTGGGAATCCTCATAAAGTGAGGATCCACTAGAAGAATCACTTTCTTCAAATGGTGTGCCTTCAAAGGGTGTTCCTTCAAAGGGTGAGCCCTCTCTGGGAGATCCGGAGAATGACTCTTTATGCTGCAAAGATAAACCTAAAGCACAAAGAGCAGTAAGTTCACAGTCCAGTAATTTCTTTTCTTCCGTAAAAAGTGAACAAGATTAAATTACAGGCAAATGGACCAAACATCAAATGAAAGTGATATGGTTATGCACTCAAATGGGCAAAACTAAACAAATGGGATTAAAATAAACCTACCATTGATGTCTAGTCCAATGTAGAGAACACAACCATCTTGCAAATTACAATTATCTCATCGATATTAGTTTGTTTACAATTGCACCCTTGAAAAAGTGATGCTTGTGATGAAAATAATAATAACCTCCAAAGGTATTTGCAATATTCTATGTGTAACATTTGTAATTTTAATTTCGACTTTTTTAAACCCAAGCCAAAAATAAAAAATAAATAAATAAAATGGGCATCTGATGTGAAGAGAAGTTGACATAGATCCATTACCCAATAAGCCCACACTATCCAACACATGATTTTAGCAGCACAAATGAAAAAAAACAAAAGAAAAAAAAAAAAGAGTAAATGAAATGCTAACCCATGTATTTTCTAGCATTTTTTTAGGAGGGGTGAGTGTTAGTCCCACACAAATGACAAAGGGTATTCCGCATGACAAGTTGACAAGAAACAATACCACTATATGACCGTGTACACCATCCAAAACATGATGACCACATAATTTCTTTTTTCTTTCAAAAAAAACAAAAAGCTAGAAATCATGCACAAACCTTTATGTCCCCTGGAGCGGAACTTCTTGGTGTGGCGCCTGATGAGCCTCTTGGCCTTGGTTATGGTGAGCTGCCTCGCAAACGGCGAGAACTCAGCATCGCTCTCGCTCCAGTCTCCGCCGTGCAGTTCGTTTTCGGCCTCTCCCCTCATTGTGCGCAGGACAAAGGCCTTTGCCTTGCGGCGCTGGGAATTGAAGAGTCCCCTTATGGAAGTCACGAAGCCATCCCCAGCTCCATCCGCAGGCCGCTTTGGCCACGCGATTGGGATCTGCTGATCTCCCCTCTCAGCCGAGCCCCCATCACTGTCGCTCAGATTGAGGTCGCTCTCTGGGACGGCCACTGTGGCAGAGTGCGATTTATCCTTGAATTTCTTTCCCTGTGGAGAGGAAGAGAGACATATATGAGTGTGTGAATGTTTGTGTGTGCGTGCGTGTGTGTGTGTCCGTGTGCAAATGCGTGTGTGTGTGTGTGAATGCGTGTGTGTGTGTGAGAGAGAGAGAGAATGTGTGTGTGTGTGTGAGAGAGAGAGAGAGAGAGTGAGAGAGAGAGAGAGAAAGAGAGAGAGTGAGAGAGAGAGAGAGAGGGAGTTGCCTGCATGCCCGTGACGGATTTCAGCACTCCCCATATAATATGCTTCTTGACACGAGAGAACAACCTCCTCCAAGTACCAACAAACTCAGTTCGGTGGAATGTGTCCATCAACAACCTCAAGTCGCTCACGGCGAATCTTGATCCTTCGTACGTAACCAGCAGCTCAACCTACTCCAAAGGATGAACAAAGTGTGAGAAAGAAACTCGGAGAGAAAGAAGGAAGGGTTTAGAAATGTTGTTCCAAGGACATACACACCTGACTGATCTTGATATTGTGAAACTCCCTCAACTTTCGAGGTTGAGATCTTTTCTCGTCTGGCATTTTTCCCGATTTCTTCTCCTCGTGCGACGAACGGCCGGGTTTTAGTTTTATGTCCTTTAATTTAGTCTTAGTGGCCTCATCTTGCTGTTCAAGGGTAAGAGCAGAACCATGTTTTGATGAAGAGTGCAGTTGCAGTACAAGTTCATTAGCCACAGATTCTGCCACATTCTCTTCCCATGTTCTGTCAAAGGAAGATGTTCTCCTGAGCTCCGGTTTTGTTGCTTTTGAATTTTGCAATTTTGATGCCTGCATAAGATAAATTCAGAGCACAATTAGCAACTTACTGTTACTGTTGCTTTAACAGAATTAATTCATCAGTCACTCAGTCTATCTGTGATACAAGGGATTGATCAAACTAAACATTTAGTAACACGGGTACAGTTCCATTTTACCTCGACATTCCAGGTCAGGTTGGTTTCACCTTAGAACATACTACTCAAAATAGAAAAGCACACTGCCTAAAATTCTTGAAGTCAATGGAAATCACGGAGAAGAAATCACATCCTGACGTTCCAGGTGACATTCCAGGTCTTGACCGTCCAGTTAGTTGCACCATATAACATAGATCAAGTGGCTTCTTCTATAATTTGGAAGGGTGATAAGGGTTTACAACCTGAAGTTGAACTCTTGTCGTTTTGAAATATATCTGCTCCTGTCCGACCACTTCTCTAAACTAATTAAGAAAGAAGGTGCAACACAAGATTTCCAAGGTACTCTAGTCAAAATGTGGGTCTGAAGGCAGTCTCTTCTGAACAATATTTTTCTCTTAGAGAAAAAAATCAACCGCTAATCCATTGTTCCTGATTCCATTGCTGAAACATCTTCTGTTTGCTCCATAAAAATCTTATGCTCGACTGGCCAGGCATTACTCTCTGACTCTCTCTCTCTCTCTCTCTCTCTCTCTCTCCTTCAAATAATCTATTTCAAACTCTGCTTCTTGCCAATGCAACAAATCTGTATCTTTCCTTTCAAGGAAGCTGACAGACCAAGTTACAGAGAATTAAAGGAAAGATCCCTAACAAGCAACACCTAATGTTTAGGCTCATTTTTGGTCATGTGACTCAAGTTCAGCGCAAGGAGTGAATATATCAAGGCAATCATAATTTCTCCATTTAAGATATACGAATTGATTGGTTCTAGACTTGTTTGTCAACAAAGTTGGTTCAAAGGTAACTTGGGCATTTATTCAGGAAAAACTATTCCACTTGTCCTTGCATGATACACATCCCTGATATCTATAAGCTTCCAAAAGTAAAATAAATGCAGCATTAATATTAGACATTTTACTCACTTGGGAAGAATCAGCAGTAATGCCAGATTGGTTAGTTGCAGATGAAGCTGCAAAATTAAAGGTACTTGATTTTGATGTTTCAGCATCTTTTGTAGTATGATTGGCAGATGTGGAAGCATCGCTAACTGATGTTGCTTTCTTCGCACGCCTTAAACCTGCTGTAGTCGAGCCTTTCCACACTTGCTATACATCACGCAAATATATGTATATATATAAAGGTTTGCCTCAACAATAATCTGGTTAAAAGTTTTAGAGAACGATTGGACTAACCTGTCGCCTTTGGGAGTCTTGTTCTTCTTCTGGAAAGAGATACTGCCACATCACTCGGTACAAGCTCTCAGTCAAATGTATTTTTAAAGGGTAGATTTCCACCTGAACAGTAAGACACGGTTTATCATGCAATTACAGTGAAACCTATCCTTATTTGGAAAAGTACGGATTACGAAAACTCATTAGTAAGGAACATGCAAACAAAATCCAGCTACAGAAAGAACCTTAACGCATATAATCGAACATTTAAGATACTTAAATTAGAATCTCAGCATGTTAATACAGTTGGCTTTACTTTTTGTACATACAAGCATGGGGGTAGACAGAGAGAAAATTGCATTAGGTCAGAAAATACTGGCTACTGAAAAGAAACAACACCGAATAATTGGCTATGCACAAATACGAGGAATACATGAAAAACTATTGACCTGGAATAATTCAAGAGGAGAATTTCCATCCTTCGAGAATCCCTGTTTTGCATCTACACGGAGCATCACTTTTCTGCATCCAGAGAAAGAAAAGATATGATAGATTGGACAAGGAAAATAGCAGCATATCTTGATTTTGATCCATCAGAAAGGAAAGATAACATGAAAAATGATTATGCATCTGATTAGATACTAAACACACGGACCATAATAGACATTAAGTTGGTCCAAATTGCCAACCCATGTCTGAATGTTGGACCATGATAAGATAATTGCACTTAGTTTGAACCTCAAACTATTTATTATCTGTTGCCCCAAAAAAAAAAAAGAAAAAGGGCAAATAAAAAATTTCAAAATTTGAAAAGATGATGAAAAATGGAAACATGTGGTTCACATGACTATTATCATTACATCAACTATAAATTTTGAATACACGTAGTTAAAAAAACCTATGCCTACAATATATAATATATATGCTACAAATAAATAAGTTATCATAATCAGTAACTACATTTATACAAATCAGAACATGTTAAAATACTTAAATGTCGAATCAGGGGCAACCTGTGCTTAGCTCAAACACATAATTTTTCAGAAAGCAGATTGTTATTTCTCCCAAAAAAAATTTCAATTCAAAGTTATGATCACATTTAACTTTCATACCACCTGGAGGAATTTTAATGCCAGAACGAGATTGTTTATGGAAAACCTGATGTATACTATTCATTCAATACATGTATTCCCTCCTACTAATCACCTCTACTCTTTTAAGGTAGAATAAAAGAAAGAAATTATAACATCACTAATCATTACTATACATTTCCTAAAAGTGTTATTTTCAAATACTTTATTTATCAAATCGTAGAACTACCATTCAAATATAATCTTTATCATACTATTATCATATAAAATCATTTCTTGTTATGTCATCTCCCCTCCAATAACTTAATTCTCCCATAATTATAGTAGAAAGAGAAAAAAGAATCCAAAATGAATGTATATCCAACTGCAATGGGTGGGACGGTGGGGGTAAATATGCGATGATCCAACATAACAATAAACTAGTCACCAATTCATCATTTGCTGCAATAGGAATGAGTTATAGCTCAAGCTTTGGCGCAGAAGAAGCTTAACTGTGTATGGAACTCAATAATTTTATCGATCATAAAATATAAAAATAATAAACAGAAAAGAAAAATTGTGGTGCGACTGAAGAACATGATATGGAAAAGGAAAAAAGGTCAATGAGAAAAAAGGAGAATGAAGATATTGACAATAGAGATAATACATACTTTCCCCATTCAGAAGGAGGATTCCATGCAGATAAGAGCATGTCAGACTTAGCATTCGGAAGACAATTTCTCACAACAAAGTACTTGGTAGTGAACTTAGCTACACCTACATCCTTATAGTCTCTGTCAAAGTCATAAATCTGCAGCATGAAATTGCAACCTCAGTACTGAACAGACGTAAGGCAAAAAAACAGATGAACTAAAGAGAGAAGAATAAGAACAAAAAACTTGTTTAGATGAAACTTAAATAGATACTTGACAGTTCAACTGAGATGCAAAAGAAGTGTTTACTAGATGTTATGAAATTTAACATCAGTGCTATCTTCCTTAATTCTACCATATAATCAATAGGCATTGCTACTAATTAGTACAAAGGGATAAAAAGTTATGGAAGATCAAAAAATCAAAAATCCAAGACTTTTTAAGAATAAATCCGAGACTTTTAGGGAGTGATTCATTTGATACTTTGAGTGACATTCTAATACTATCAAATCCGATACTTTAAGAATTATCTTAGTTTCTTTTTTTACTAAAATACTGGGAAAATTCTAGAGGTGAGATTGGGTGATAGTTTTCGTATCCAGACAAATCATAAAAAAGAAAAGTGAGTAATAAATTGGATACCTCGTGGCTTTTTAAGACCTTTTCATATCTCCAACTAATACCTTAATTTAAATATATCAAAATGCCTTGAAATCTAATTAAGTCCAGACAAATCATAAATAAATCCAGAAAGTGAATAAATTGGACACCTCAGAACTTTATAAGACTTTTAATACCAAATGAATACCTCAAGACTTTAAATTTTTTAGAAAGTCAAAATTAAAAACACAAAGATTCTTAAATTCTTAAAAAAAAAAAAACAAAAAGAAAAGCTTAAAAAACCTCAATGAATACATAAGTTGGATAACTGACAAACTGCGTAAGTTTAATTTTTTTTACTTCACTCGGTCATATCATTAACCATGTTTTAATCTTTATTCAAACTCCAGTTCACTTGGAAATATATGCCATAAAGCTGGTCAAAGAATTGAAAGAATTTCTTGAGCTTTTGGCGGGATTTTGCCTAAAAACATTTACAGATTAAGAAAGACAGAAAATGTCATGTAACCATAGCCAACACTGAGAAATTATTAAAGAAAAAATGTTGCCATTAGTAATTTCCCCAACAGAGATGACAACTCTCAGGGAAGCAAGGTATTAAAGAGTCCAATGGTAGTAGAAACAAATAAACAGACACCTCCTTGTGGTGATACCTGTAACCCAACAAAGATAAGCCCACACTTCTCACTTTGAAACAATTTAATAGGAGTTATCCACAGAAACATTGGAACTCAAAAGATAGTATAAAAAAGCACAAGAAGACATATATCTAAAATTATCGATCCTCACCATGTCATTTATCTCTGCTTCAGCGAAAGACTTTCCATCAACGAGCATTCCCCACACAACTTTGTTGATTTGCAAGGAAATCCGCATTGCATAGGAGGGGCTTTTATTTTTCTCCTTTTCCATTAATCGTAGCTGTGCAGCTTTCTGCAAAGCTAACCTCAAAGAAGCGGATGCAGCCTTTCTAGCCTTTTGCGCATTTATGAGTTCCCTTTTCAATTTTTGAACCTAAAAGTGAACTCGATTAATTTGGTCAAGAACATGGAAGAACGTAGCAGAAGAAGTGATAACAAATATCAACATGCTTGTACAATTAGACTCCTCAAATATGTCAATAATCATTCGTGCTACACATATTTTCAGGAAGCAATGAATCCTCATCTAAATATTAACGAATGAAATAATGGTGCGCATTTTCTGGTAAGGCGCCTGCAATTTATGATTAGAAGTAGAAAAATGAGACTATAATATGAAAGTCATTCACACACACACACACGCACCATGTTTAGCAATACAGCTATCAAAATCTTTTATTGACAACTGAGATGGATAGGACAAACATATGCTGGAAACAATCATTGATACTAAACAATTACACATATATAACCTTATCTCCTGCATCCATTGATCCACCCATCCCCCTACCCTTACTATTTTTACACATATCTCCAAAAGTTTAAAATAAATTACCTTTTTCCACATTAAACATTATGTGTCCAAGAAAAGCTAAATTTCTACTGAACAAAATTCAGCTTATATAACAATTGAAGCGAGAAAAATCAAATCATCCGAGCATATTTCTGCCTGATGTTCTTCCCCAATAAGCAGCAGATACCTAGTTATTCTCCAATATCTATTACAGGGGCAGCAATTCTAATTGTTATATGGGAGGCGAAAATGGGATGTATGGGTTTACCTTGAGAATGCCTCGTGTGTTCGCTCAGTTAGGATTAAGGTTAACCTTCCTATGAGTTTAATATATGATATATGACAAATACATGAAACCAATATGTATGCATGCACTCTTATATGCGCACGCATGCACTCTTAAACAGGCACATCCAGAACATAAAATTTGCACCATACACTGAGCAAAATATCTGCAAATCATAAAACACTAGTGGCTTACCAGAGTAAACCTTCCATTAGTCACCATCCAAAGATCCACTTCCATTTCCGCTTGTGGATCCCCAAATGTATCACCTTGCAGAGAAAGTTTCCTGATATCATCAAAAATCAATCTTTGGACCCTCTCTTTCTGTTCAAGCTCAACTTTTGCCAATTCTACTTCCTCAACGCCATCGGGAACAACTTCATCCGCCTCCTCTTCAACGTCTTCGTCATCTTCGGCTGAATATGATAGGCTACTCTTGCGTGGCCTGGATCATCAACTAAATCAGTTGAAGTCCCAGAAGCAGAACCAAAATCCATGGATATGCAGCTATTCTAAAGACAGTTTATATCTAATTAATCGTCTACAATGAAATAAAATAAGGGTCACTTCCATAAGGCAGGATAAAATCACTTAAGGTCATTGCTTATGAATCGACTTTCAATTATCGGGTCATTCTGCCACTGCACCAATCATATATCTTCAGCATCTGGCTGTATCGTACTGTTAGTTATTTTCTTCTTAAATATTCCACGTGCATAAAATAGTTCCAAGACAAGTCAAACACTTAACAATATATATCTCTGACAAATACAGAGGTCGAATGCGGATCTTAAACTGATTAAGATTCTTCATTGTAGACAAGCAATCCCAATAAGATGGATTACAGTAAAAAAAATGCATACAAACCGGAACCAGTCTGGATGTTTGGTGGTTTGGAACTGTGGGGTTGGGTTGACTTCGACGGTTGGTCTTGCAACGGCTACAAAATCCAACCATTGGAAAGGTTGCAACACACAATTCCGGGCCCAACCTGGCGGGCCCGCAACCAGACATAATACTCAAAATTTTATTTTATTTTTTTTCGAGAGGGAAACCCAGCAGGCCCACCTGTAGCGGGTCGAGCAAGACCCACCGTTTTTTTTCTTTTTTCTTTTTTTTTTCTGCTTGAACCGAAACCGACCCATGGAATGACCGGGCTACGGGCCAACGGGCCGAAATCCCAGGGAATTGCAAGCTGACCCGGTCCACTGCCATGTCTACACATTAAGGTATCTTCCAAGTAAATCCCCCTAACAAATTACTGGCAGTTACGCATTTAAGTGAACCTGCCATTAGTGACTGAACTTTAAAGAATTTTTTTTTACCTCACAAAGAATGTCCGTTTTTAGACTTAACAACATTTTTCTTGACAGACTACCTTGGGACTTAACAACTTTTTTCTTGACAGACTACCTCCCAAGGTACGAAACTGTTAATTTGCCTCTTCTTTTAAAAACTCTAACATGACAGAGGTTTTTAACTCAATTAACAATGAATTTTGAATCGATCTTTAAAATTGAATTAGGGCTTTCGAATCCCATGACAAGACCCTACAAAATGGCGAATGATTATCGATTTATGAAAATTGATATGCCAGCAGTCGATCGACGAAGAAGGTAGGCAAAAATATGAGTTTTCTAATGAAGTAAATCTTATAAAAATTCAATGGTCAAATTTTGGTTAGTAGCCTTAAAAAAGGTGAATATTTGTCAATTGTTTGAATAATAATCAAAATCCGACTGTTGGATTTGCATAAGTTTATCTCGCTAGAAAACTCGTCTTGTAAGATTCAAATCACACCTCCCAATAAAAAAGGGGATATCTTGATTATCAAAAAATTTGAACCGAAGTTTTTTTTTATGCACACGTGCGTCTACCTTCTTCGTCGATTGATTACCGACGTATCAATTTTCAGAAATCGATAAACCATGCCTCTTTCGTCTCGTCATGGGCTTCAAAAGCCTTAAATCAGTTTAAAAGACCGGTTCAAAATTCATCTTTAATTAAGTTAAAATATTTTTGTGTCATGTTAGGGTTTTTAATAGGAGGAAAATTGTCTAATCTGTCAAGAAAAAAAGGTAAGGCAAAGTCTAAAAACGGGCATACTTTGGGAAGTTAAAAAAAAATATATATTTCCCAACTTTAAAATCAGCACCTCTATGGCATGCTTATCATTAAAATCAAGATTCCACATTTCATTATTAGGAATCAAATAAATGGTAGTGTCAAGGAAAAAATCCATAGAAGCAAAATATGTCCCCATGACTATCCCCATCAATATAGCTGCACGTAGAGCTGTCACAACCTAATGACCATCCCCATCATATTGCAGCTCAGGATGAAAAACATGGCCATGACATTTTGTAGAACTGATAATAGAGATATGTTCGACCTCTATGACCCAAAAGAGGAAATTTGCACTTAGAGCTACAGCTAAACCATTTCCTCAGATATTATAACAACCAAATATAAAATTTCCCTATCAGTTGAATTCGCATGAAATTCTTCAAGTGAATAGCATTTTGCTGGGCCACTATAGCATTGCAAAAGCGAGAAACAATTCAAGATCATTCTTACTTGGGAAGTCTGGCAAAGAGAAGGTTGGTCAACACATCAAGCATCACTTGAAATTGTCTGGATGTCATTGCCGCAGTAATATTATGAGAATTGAAAATAAGCTCTTTCAAGGGCTTCACCTGTGACATATATAAGCTACAATCATCATAAAGCTTCATGTACCATTTTCGTTACTCAAATTGAGGATGATATAAGTTTCATTTAGCAAAAGAGCACATGTGCAGCTTAAAACTTATGGCCATACCTTTAAATCGGAAGTTCCTCCTTTATGCCTTGTGTATCTGAAGTACATGTCACACGGCATAAAAACCCTTTCCAATAAAGCTCCAGTACGCTTAACTTTTGGTGAGCTCCGACGAATCTTAGGAAGCCACTGCAATCCAGCCCCTGGATCCACATCTGTTGGAGCTACATGAGCTTGGACATGCTCCAACATAACAGAGAACTCCATGCGGTTCCATGTCATTTCAGGCTGAGTTTCAGGTATTTGGATCTTCTCTCCACCAAGTGCTTGTTCAATCACCTCATAGCCGACATGAAGAACTGAATGAAATGACCGCGCTAAAACACGACCGCTCACAGCAGCGAGCAAGAACCTACCCTGCCAATAAGGTTTTATTGTAAGTAAGAACAAGAATAGTACAGTATTTATTAACTGGTGCTATTTGTCGACAACTTGATTGGATTCTTGTCGTTCTAAAAATAGAGTAAGCTGCTGCAGATCAAATAATCAGCTCAAAAGGGTTGAGAACAACATGCTAATAAGAAAAAAACCCAAGATGGAAAGGATCCAGATGCCCCACACTACACCACTAAATATCTCAACCTCAACAGTGACCCTCAAGCACACTGTTGGTAACTACAACTGAAAATTTGATGATGAACTTTGTAGCCAACTACAAAGTTAAGAGGGACAAATTTTTTAAGCTTCAAAATGGAATTAAAGTACATGATAACTTTGTAGCCAACTACAGTCAACTTATGGGAGAAGTCTACATATCATTCACACACCACCATATTCGGAGCAGGATATAAAGTGTTGCCGTAACAAGACCATATCTTCACTATAATGAGCACAGAACTTAGAAAGCTTTCTGCATTATTAAATGAACACTCTATCCTATTTTGGGAATGGAAGCAGTTGTAATACAGACAATTAGCTCATATATATTATATTTATCATGTCAAAGGCGGCTTCAGTTGCGAGGAAGAAGTAATCAATAAGTTCATTGGTTTAAGCCATCTAAGTTATCCATACTTGGATTCCTTGGAAGTGCAGGACTAAAGTTGGAAATAAATGATTAAGAGAATTTATTTAGCTGAATATCTATACTTTATCGCATATCCAATGAAAAATAAAGGGTACGGCATTTCTAGTCCTTTTGCTTCAGTTTATCCAGATAATTGCTGTCAGACTCTGCACACAAGCACCAGAATGCTCAAAATTTCAGTAAGAATACATCCCTTTTTAGAACCACATTCTACAACACACACAGTCCACAAAATTTACCAGGAGGCCTATTGTCAAAGATTCAAACACAATCTCCCTGAACCTTTGGTTCTCAAGTTTTGTTTTCCAATAAATTTGGGATACCTAGCATAAATGAAGTTCTAGCTTGAACTTACATTAGACTCCTCCGAATGAAGATTGAACTGTGGCTCAATAACGTTCACCATGAAATGGCGTGTGCCCTCCTCCTCAGAGTCATCAATGTTCCCATATTTCGCTGCATAAGGGCACAAGAATGCACATTGCATAAGGAAGAAGAGGTGCTGAAAGTTTGAATAAATTATAAATCAACATTATGCTATGCTGATCCTGCATCCATGACTATCATATTTGCTCAGTCTACTGTAAAATAAAAAAATTACAACCACAGGAGAGGATAACCAGATAAAATTAGCAAACTTAGTCAAATGATTTATCAGTTTCCACTTTCTTTTTTAAGCATACATCTACGTAGGGTTTGGGTCTAAAAATTCTGAAACCACATGGAAATGTGTAGGTCTTTCGTGATTATTAGAACATATAAAAGAAACAACAAATGCACAAGTGGATAAATGTACAAATGCATACATGGATAGATATGAAGCCATTGCACGTGATTATGTGAAAATGTAAAGAAGCATCTGGAATGCTTTTAAGCTTACCAATTGCACTAGTAATAGAATTCTCCATTGTCTCTGACTGAGAGGGAGAAGAAGGAGATTTTGAGATGTCCATGATCTGCGAAGAACTTGCACCAGCAGTGACAGATGAAGATATTTGATTATCATTACTTTTGTGGATATCAGGTTTATCAACAGCATTGTTCTCCTCATGCAGTTTTCTTTGGGCATATTGGCGAGAAGGGGAAGGCTTTGGAGGTGCAAATGCCTTGGATAGCCCACCAACCCAAGACCAAACAGCATCTCTATTTTCAAGAGTCCATAGAAGCTTGAGACCATAAACAAATATCCGCTGACAATTATCAGCAATAACTACATTATATCCATCATCATCACTGGGGTCAGATCTTGTATGGTCATCACTTTCACTCCCATTTTCAAACTCAGATCTGACATAAGTCATTTCGAGATTCCTTCTACCAGCTTCTTGCCATGCCAATAACCTTTCAGGATCGGCTTTTGGGGCTTGCTTGCGGATTGTGAAGTAGTCAGATGATAACAAAAACCCGTCATCTTGATGCTTTTCTATACTGTTTCTCGAGGAGCTGTTTTTACCACTCATAGCCCTTTCCATTGATGCAGACTGTGATTTCTTCCTGGTCATTTGAAGTATTCTTGCAACAGTAGCACAATCATCCTTATTAATGTATGCTTTAGGCATGTGAAGATCAAGACCTTGGTACACAAGGTCGAGAGGCTCCCGTTTGCAGTCAAAGGTATATTTTTGCTTACCCCGGCTATTATAAAGTTCATATTTGACCTTCGTCATTTTAAATGTCAGTCCCTTTGCAGGGTCATCGTCATGTAAAGGCATGTGCCTGATACATGTCGGAGTTGCATCAATCCTGAACATAAACTCTGTCATCACTCTATCTAGTGACAGATTTCCAGATCTGGGAATCCTAGGAACCCCAAAGCGGGGCCACCTGGAGAACATTCGCAACTTATGAGGAGGAAGAAAATTTAAGTTCCAGAATTTGAGTATCCATGCCAAATCATGATGACCAAGATTCACCATTGTTGAATCATTCAGTGCAGTCTCCGGTTTCAAATGATCAGGAGAAACTCTATCGGGAACAACATGATTATTAATAGAAGAGGATTGTGACTGGTCATTATCAGAAGAAAGTGAAGGCCTAAGGGAGAAATTCCATCGCAGGGAGAGAGAAGTAGATCTAAAAGGATCAAAAACTTTCTCACGAGGTACACCCTCACAGGGAAGTGCAAATAAATAATGATTAAGTGGATGCCCAGATTCACAATCCCAATCCATTGTTACTTCAAGTGTGAAAATTGGAGCTTCAAGGAAAGGAACTGAAAGTCCAGAAGAATGTTTCAGAGTGCTGTTTTTAAGTAAGCTTTCTAAACTACTCAGGAAAATCTTGAAATCCTTAGCAGAAGCATAAACGCGACCATCTGATTGCTGGATTTCCATGTAACCCGTAACGACTTGAAGTTTGTCCAAGGTTTCATAGGGATCAGTGGTTGCAAGAATATTCCATATTGTCTCAGAGAAATGTAAAGCAGCATTCCCGTGAATGTAGTTCCTCATTTCATCCCACCAGGGTAAGCTTTTCTCTTTCTTAGGGGGCTGAACTACTGGATTTGGATTTCTAATGCTTAAATTGGCTCTACGTAGAGCCACAGTGAAGGCATAGCTGATATCTGCCAAGGATGGTTCCCAACCAACACCAAAAGAAACTTCCCCTTTCTGGAAATGTATGGGCAAATCCAAATATGTTTTTACTGGTGGAGTTGTTCCACTAGCAGAGCGAAGGATGTTAACTTTTCTCCATCTTCCAAGGTAGACATCTTGGCGAATTTGTGGTTGGAATGGAGTTGCCTGCCAATCGCACAATGTAAAAAGCAATACAATAAATCATAAATAGTTTTATGACCATAATTATTACAATGCACTACTTAATAAATCAATGAAGTGGTTTTTCAAACATAAGTATCCAGTAATATATTACTGTAATCTTAAAGTAATTACATTTGCAGTACAAGGAAGAAAAAAAACATTTCTATCTTTTTGCTCATTTCTACTATTGAAGGGAGATTATCAGATTAAAAATGCTGAAGACAAATGAAGCATAGAGAACAAATATTTATTAGTTAAACAACGCATACATGTGAGCTAGAACAAAAACCATACACAAGAAAAAAAGCATCAGAAGAATTTCAAGTACCTGTTGAGCAAGTATAACGCGGCCTTCACATCGACCACCAGTTGTAGCAAGTAGTGGACAAGTGTAGTTTCTTATCTTAGCAGCCAGGGATCCTGTACGCAGATTTATGTTTGCTCCATAAAGTTTTGAAAAAGGAATATTATGGGCACGTGATACTGGATCAAGCTTTTGCAAAACTTCAATCATCCCAGCATCACCACCCTCAATTTTTGTCAACATTAGATCTAACTCAGTAGCACAAATTGACAAAAGTGAAGTTCTAGCTGTGCTAGGCTTGAAACCAGCTTGAAAGCCATCTTTACAGGCCCCTGATCCTTCTGATGGAACAAGACCCTGGCATGCCTTGTAATATGATCCAAATGACTTCTTGTATATTTCCTCGCGCAATTTCTGAATAGCAGAAACATCTTCAAAATTAATCTCCTCTCCATTATACTGAATTTTTCCGTCCAGCGAATCATTTGATTCACCAACACTATGACCTTGGCTGCTCCTAGAAATAAGTTCTTCAAGAAAATCTAACCTAACAGCCAACTCACGAGCCTCGTTCTTCAAAAGTTTGTAATGCTCATCCAGCCAACCCTGAATTGGTTCTTCCTCGATATCAGCAGTTAGTTTACGTATGCCAAACTTTATGCATCCAGTTCTTGTTGAACTAGATTTTTTGGGGGGTTTTGATGGCTCTTTTTTCGGAGAAGATATACGTTTAGTCTTAGCAGAAGTCACGAGCTTCAACACTCGCAGCATTTCTTCCACAGCGTCATCAATGGCGCGCAACTCCAACCTAAATGGCATGCATATATGAACGTCAATAGCTTGAATTACCCAATCCCAGGTAGTCACGTTTTCAGATTTTACATCAGATAAACTTCCAGAGACATTAGGTACTCGAGATATTTGCATCCTGCTGCTTCGAAAAATTCTAGTTTTATTAAATTGAAGCATAAGCCCCTCAACAAGCACGCCAATTCGGGCATTCTCAGAAAAGATGGATTGGACCTGGATTAAGGTTTCAACACCATCTCCAACCTCAGCAGATATAGTAAGCATCTCCACATCAACAGCAAATATGGATTGTCTTTTCTTCACTGGTTTTTCAATCTTGACTGATTCCAAAGAGGTCTCTTTTGTAGCCTCCCTATCTTCAATTTTCACGCCATCATTTTGTCCCTGGGGCTTGTGATTATGAGTTAGCGAATTCAAGTGCAACCCTAGTTCAAATAGAGCAATATGCACATCAGGCTCCCATCTTAGCGATATATCTGTTGCACTGAAGAGACAGCAGACCTCTATTTCCTTTGGACCTCCAGATCGTCTAATAAGCTTTGCGTTCTGCATGTCCAGTAGATCAACTTTTGCTCCGGGATTACCGTCTTCAGGGAACTCCTGATAAATAGATCTAGCTCTTTCAAGCTCAAACTGCATAGATTTTCTCTCCTTGTTCATGCAAAGATTGAAGTGGTAAATGTCAAGAGATACAGTATATTTCATCTTTTTGGCTTCATTTGAGAATGTGGACGTAATGTGAGCAGTGCGTGAGGTCCCATCTGCTGAGTTAGCAATTAAAACTCTACCACCTTGAGATCCATAATTAACACGTTTGGGATCCGGAACAACTATGTCCTCCAAGCCCACATCTCCGCAGACATTGACAGAACACCTTTCAAGATTGAGTTTCACATGTTGAATCCCCTTGCCTGATGGTCTGGACGACCGCATTCCTTTGCTTTGTGCTGGTTTCTTGTTCGAAGCAGATAATTTTTTCCCTAAGGCCTTGACGGATAGAGCAGTTGATACCAGTGATTCAAGACGCCTGTAGGTCAAGTACACACCCATACCAGTTACATCAGCACCAAGAACCATCTTAGACTTCAAACCATCTTCGGGTGGATCCATATCTTTTTTACCCAAGTCCAGGCTGATCTTAGCAATGTGCATTAATGACCCAGTATTTGTTTCCACACCAAACAAGCTCTCTTTCAGGCATTCTTGATATTCATCAGACATGTGTAAGTTTAGTTCACCAAGTTCCAAATGCAGTGTTGTGCCCGTACCAGATATGTTGTTGGCAAAAATGTGTGATGATTGTGAACAACCCTGTAGTTTAATGATAGAGTAATTATGACAGAGTTGCAAACTCAGAAGAGGAAAGCAATGCATAAGCAAGAATAAATCTATCCTAAAAAGTATCAACTTCAGCCTCAACATATTTAGTATAATGCTGTGCTGCTTGTGCGATTTTTCAGAAAACAAAAAGTACTGATAGCGATGTATTTCCAATTATTTAATAGGTTGCTAATAGAAAATGCAGTCAAGGTAAGACAAACCGCAGGGTGTCCCCACATTCAAGAAAAGGCATAATAAGAAGTCAAACATCAAAGCGATGTAAGGCCATCTGTCCACATTCATAACAAAGAAAATTGATTGATCCTAGGGAGTTGAAGACACAAGTAACGAAAGTATGACCACAAAACATCATGAATATATATGTTAAAAGTGGGTTAATTTAAGCAATATGTTGGAACGAATCCAACTTCTTGTTTCCGTACAGTCCAAAAAGGTTACATGCATATGGATTAGAAAATCCACCCGAATTAAATTAAATTAAACACGGTATGTAAATATATATGTGCATTTCTTAGAAGATTTGTTTTCTGTATCTAGGTTAGTATTATATATATATATATATATATATATATATATATATATATATATATGCTTTGATAATAGAAAGTGAAAGATGCACCAGAGCAACTTGCTTGATATCCATGCATGTAATCGTGTGTCCAATTCTCTGCAGGAGCCTTCCGTTTTTTATCCTATGAGGTAAATCGGTAACTTATGTATAAAGATTTCCAAGACCACTTCTCTGCCTATCTCAGACTCTCAGTCCCCAGTTGTTGGAGCCTCATGGGCAGTGCTCTTCTCTATGTGTGTGCATGTGAGATAGAGAGAGAGCTGGAGGACAGAGAGGAGAGAAAAAGAATCGGCTGAAAGAGGGAAAGTAGATATGTGTAGAAGCAATTGCATGGGTGACTAGTAGCTGAGTTTAACAGGGATAATGAAAAGGATAAGGTTTTGTATCCAATTAAAGGGGCTGCTGGTCTTTTAAATGTAACTGGAATTAACTGTGTCAGTCATAGAAAATCGTATTTCTACCTACGGCCAGTTTAGTGCCCAGATGGGTGATTAATAATTCAGGCATCAAGCATATGCACACACAAAGGAAACAACCAGAGAACAGATGTGTCATTACATAACTAGTAATGTTATTAATGTAGGATGGCTGTACATGGCGGTTTGCCAAAATTCCTCCATAGGCGGCCTATGGCACCACCATGACCGCCATCCTTCACAAATTTTGCATGGCGGACTGTCGAAAATCCGCCACGCCATACGCCATAGCCGCCATTTGATAACACTGATAACAAATGATGAAAATTTCCTTCAACCAAACCAACATAGAAAGTCTGACAATTATGTTATTCCTGACAACTTGCGTTAATCATTGCTATGCCATAGAATATAAAGGGGGTTGAGATTTTAACACAACACAAGAAAATCAATATCGAACGTATTCTTACATGGTATAGTGGTGACCCAGTCAAGCTAAAAAGCACAACAGTCATCTCTGGGGCAGAAACAGTGCATGTCCACATGATTGGTTTCTGTTCAGTTAAATGTGATTGTTCTTTGGAATGGCTATCTTCTGAAATTCCTTGTTTTGGCTTCTGCGGATGGCGAAGGCAAGCCCATGATTCTAACCTGTTCAATAGTAAGTTGCACTGTGTACCTCCAAGCTTAACATCAACTTCGGATCTGATAGGGAAGCTAGGCTGCAAAGCAAAGAAATCCAAGTAAAACTTTGACCTAACTGAATATCAAAAGGAATTAAACATAAATGCCAACCAAGACATAATGTGATATTTTGTCTCGTCATAGGTTTCCATCTTTTCTATAAAGCTTAAATCTTATTTACTTCATGGGATGGAGTAATTTATAGTTATGGAAGTAGAACTCTACCGGTTGATCAGATCTCAGTACAGGAAAGACTCGAATATGAAATCATACTCCAAAAACAATTGACCCTTGGTTTCAGTTATACTCATCCTACTCAATTTTAACCAATATTGAGCGCTATTATCTGGAATTAAGGCAGTTTAACGAAAAAAAAGCGCTCAACGTAATCTGTGAGTAAAGTATACCTGTAGTGGTATGTAAATGGACGACACAACATCAAGTTTCAATATTTCCACGACAGGGATGCCCGTTTCTCTAAGGAGCTACAACAGGTAGAGCACATTAGTAAAAGAGAAGATAAAGTAATGCTTCAGTCACAAATTGAAGTTTGGTTAGTATGTTCTTACATGAATCTCACTAAATTCCATCTGGACATCAAGTTTTACGCTTTCCCCCACATCTTCTATAGAACAAGATTTCATGCATTTCAGTTGGATCCCCATAATATTATTGTCGATAGTAAGTCCATAACTCCGATGCACAAACTTTACATCAAGTTTAGGTAGAGTGAAGGCGGCCTATTGAATTAAAATCAGCCATAAATAATGTATAACTCAACGGAAATAGGTAAAATAATAAATGAAAAGCTAAAGAATTCATGGGATGCCGTTAGGAGTATAACAAATAACCACAAGCATGTAGTGCCCTTTGAAAGGGCATCAACCAGGGTTTAACCCTGTATGTAATGGTTATTTGGTTCTTACTATTCCTTTCCCTCTACTCCACCCTAAACTATTAAACAAAAAGCAAGGATAATGTAGATATATATTGTGATGGTTAAACCAGAAGGAGAAAGCAACTATACATCATTATTGTTATACAAAAATAAATAAATAAAGAGTTGACATGATGCATGAATAAATAAAGAGTTTACAAGCAGATTTATATTGCGATGGTTAAAGCAGAAGGTGAAAGCAACTATACATCATTATTGTGATACAAAAAATAAAATAAAGAGATTCCATGGTGTATGAATCAGTGCGAAAACCCATAAACTTTAAGTCTTTAACCCACTCAGCCAATGAACCGAAGCATAAAAGCTTAATTGACAAGCACAAGTGTGACAGATACATATTTTTTCAGTTCCCTGAACCTACTTCCTCTCAATAAAGGCTATGATCCAATAATAAATCAGAAGATAAACCACCAAAATCCCGAGCCAACGTCAAGTTTTGGCCAACCATAATTCTGGAGTTGTATATCTTACATTGGTTCTTGCATTCTAGCCCCAACATAATACTTGAGTAAGTTGAATAGCTGGCAAGGTTTCCTGTACTCTTGCTCTATAGTTACATACAGCTACATATTCATATGCAGGTCCAATCTAATTGAAATTATCCTCACTGGTACTTGATATAGTGAATTGTTTGGAAAGAAAAAAATTGAGATATATTTAATCAAATTAAAAAATAAACAAACAGGAGTTTCATATCCCAAGAGCAAGAGCCGAATTGGGAAGAAGCTTCCCCGCCCAAACCTAAGGCCAACAATCACAGTTCAACAAATGGTAATCCTTAGTATCAAATGATAGTCTACTTAAATCGAGTCCCAACGCTAAATATAACCCTATTGAATATTCTAAGCAAATGGGCCAAAAAGCCTATGTATTGAATTAATTGAAATAAAAATCGATCTCTAACAGTACTCCTGGAAGGCATCCTTCCACAGTAATATAATTATAATCAATAGCGTCTACGTGTTTTAGCAACCCTTGTTCCTAAGGCTGGTTAATATTATCACCTTACATAAATAGACGGTTAACCCGACACATAGACATGTGTGTGTGTGCGTGTAGGTACAACTTACAAGATAGTGGGAACAATTGCAATGACCTAATAAATAGAAAAAGTAATGTTGAACCAGTTCAAATCAAGTCAACCTTTTCCGGTAACATAGATACAGCAGACAATGCTCTTTCCCCCCGCGGGCTTTTAGCAGAGACGGATTCTTTGTCCACCGCCTGTACAACTCCTGAGGCAGGCTGAGAAGATTTGTCAGGCAGATCCTTTTTCTTAAGCAGAAGTTCCTCATTTAAATTAACAGAAACTTGTCCACATGTAATATCCAAATCCCTGACAACTACACCTGTTTCCCTGCACCAACAGTAATAAAACAGTTAAAATACAAACCCACATTCCTTTCTCTTCTTCTTTTCATATTTGTTCCCAAAAGTTTCCTCTAAACAAAGCATACTGTCTTCTATAAGAAGATAAAAAACAAATTTACCTCCTATTGTCTATGTAATAACGTTTATTTGCACAAATATTTTAGGAAAACTAATAAAACTTCAACACCTTGAAATGAAAGCATAGCACTTGTATTCACTTAATTATGCTGAACATACTGAATCAAACATACATTCATGTGGTCTAGGATGATTCTTCTAGCCGAGCACAAACCACATTAGAGCTCAAACACACAAGCTACCAAATACACAAGAGGAACCACTTTCTACTAATTTGAACCAACTTTCAATCCAACTGTTTACTGTTCTTGGTTTCACATATATTCCTGACATAAAATTGCAAAAATCACTTTATCTTATCAGTTGTCTCTAATTCCAGAGAATGCAATGTGCAACATTCAACGGCAGAATGGCATATTACTCTAAATCCAGTACAATCTAGACAAAACTATTGATCAGTAGGAAACGAATATAAGGAAAAAATATTCTTCCATCTCCGTAGTTTTCATATCCATAGAAGCTCCCAAAGGAAACATGTCAATCAAGACTTCCAGCCATTACATCCACAAACCCATCAACTTTGAGGCAAAAAGAAAAATCAAACCACAAACAAACACAACCTACCTATTATGACCGATCTCACACAAGAGTGAGAATTCTTCACAGCTGAAAGGAGGACAAACCCCATCTATCAACTGACAACCAGAGGAAGATCCACCAGAGGTCAAGTGCGGTTCTCCAAGGTGAACGTTGATAGGAAATAGCTGCAACTTCACAAACAACTCCGCCTCAGAACCACCATCTTTAGATATGTCTACCCTCAGTTCTTTAATATCCAAAGTAGCTTTTGGATTCTGCAGTTACAGTATCAAGTGTAGAATATGATATTAACATAAGATATATAGACAAATTTAACGTATGCAACCCATTACTGGATTAATGAGTGATACTAAAAACAAATAACTAGATTGAATATGATACAACAGAAAAACATATAGTATGATCCGGAGACTTCTTCTCTGAGGGCATATGGAGTTATAACATGAATATATGTATCGCTTGGAACATATAAGCTCAAACTATATCAAAAATGAAAAGATAAGCAGTATCATCATTTTACTACTCGTAATCACATTTCAATAATCTAGTCATGACATTATTGGTCCACATATTTGGCGATAAGCACTGAAAAAGGCAAAAATGGTAGCAGAAATCTGACAGCATGACCAAACAGAACCGTGGATGCTGAGAAGACAACTAGATATTTCTTACCTTCAATGAGAAGTCAGTCACAGAAACTGACAAAAACCTAGCCATGTTAGCCAAGACCATCCACTTTCCTCTACCAGGGCTGCGAGATTTTTTAGATCTGGTTTTCTTAGTAGTTTTTGTTGAAGATCTCATTATAACTTCCAAATCGCATATTACCACCTGTAGTTTTGGGTCCCTAGACATGAAGCCAACCCCAATCTTAATCAAGGACTGCCGTAAACTTAATCTGACTTCACCAACAGATATGGACTCAATAGGACCCTGTGCATCAAAAAAATTGCCAAATACAGGTTCAGCAATGTAGTGTTGTGCACAATGTTCGTTTCAAAATACAGATCAGAAAGTAACCACAATGCCTTTTATCAAGATGATCATTTTAATGTAAATAGCAAAGTGTTATTCTATTCTTATATCTATACATTTTTATGGGAGTTCCATGAGGTGAGCTACACTTGATCTGAATAGACCACGCTGACAATCTACATAATAGACCCAATGTTACCCACTTAGTTTTATTCACAAATATCAGACCCTTGATAGCGAAAAAGAAGATATCATACTTCTCTATACGTCCCATTCTCGAAAATGCTGCTCAACACAAATATTATGATTATTTATAGTTCAAGTTAAGAAAATAAAAAGAATACAGGAAAAACGTTGATCACCACAATATCAAAGAAACCAGCCAATGCAGTAACTAGAGATAAGTATACGCATGCATGAAAAACTATCAACATGTGAAACCCAGTTGATTACAAAATATTAAGCAGTTGTATTTGGAAGAGTAAAATATTTTCCAGTTTTCATGTTTTCCAGAATTATCTCTTCCACAAATAAGTAGGTATGGAAAATTTCCAAAAATCAATATGCCTGAGGCTAGTTTCACATCTTGCAATGTTTTTACAAGTGATGATGCCTCATTAGTCATTAGAAAAATATTTTATATCATTCCAGAAAATTGAACTACACTTCGAATATAAAGAAATTAGATTAATTTATTCATGTTCAGATGTCCTAGATCAATATGTAGCTAAACAACTCTTTGAAGCTTGCACATGGTCCCAAAGAATTGGAAATTCATGCAAAATGAGTGCACAACTAACTGAAGTAGAGTACAAAAATTTAAAACATAAAAAGAACAGTAAGAAGAAACACTGGTCCATGGTATAATTCCATTTTTTATTTATTTATTTATTTATTCAAATCAAGATGCTATACTATCTCCAAATTCTGAAATTTAAAAATACAACATTAAGAAGCTTATACCCAACATAGAGCATGTACCAATAGCTATTTGAGCTAAATGTGAACAATAAAAAACAGTATAGATTACGAAAGGTGTAGCCCATGGCGAACAACCCCTTGCTAAGTACGGTCATATAATAGGATACCCACCATTGTATTCCATCAAATGCCATAATTTGATTTGAATGGAATTAGCGATAATATGAATGGATTTCTCTTCAATCAGAATATAAACCCGTTCACTTAATTAGAGATTTAGATGTGTATTAAAATGAATACATATACAACAGTCTGTGTGCATTTGCTTGTTCAACTTTGAGTAAAGTGACTAAATATCAAGTTATGTACTTCTGCAGTTTCAGTTTCAGCTAAGACAGTGAAATTCGTGTGGATTGGATAATAATTTATGTCAAATCCGAATCATGAAAATACTATCTTCTCTACTTGACATTTATGCATATTTTTACACCATTCATCATTCAGTTTAAGTTCTAAAAATAAGTAATATATAAGTTACTATTTGTAATTAAGAAATAATAACATAATTATAATTTGTTTTACAGTATCATTTTCCTTATTCAAAAGGAACAAACAGTGCATTGAAAGTGTACAATGCTAAATACATAATGAGAACATATAACATCATATACCAAATAAGTCTTTCGAAATATTAAATTCAAAAGAATTATCCTTTCTTTCATTCTATCACTTTTCAAAATGAAATTGGTGTCGTTCAACATGTTACTTTTGTCAGGGCCAAAGAGGGTAAGTTTTTTTTTTTTGTTCATTTCGACACACCCCTAGCCTTGATATTAATGGCATGGTTGCTGAAAGGTTCACTAATTGTGAATAGCTTCGAGCCAAGGGGAGAGAGAACTAAATGGGAAACAAGGAAACTAAGTGGAACTTTTAAATGAGACTATAATTGTAGCACTATTTGATGAAATTTAATAGTGTAAATACAATCAAGTGTGCATATATTGTATCAGTATATGACTTCCCTAATCTACATGGAACACCTAAAACCACTAATAAAACAAAAAGTAGGAAATATATATTTGCAATTCTTGAATTAAAAGTAATGTTTTTGCAACTCATCAAGTGATATATACACTTCTTTATGAGTTTGGAGAGTATTCGCAAATGGTACTTACATGGAGTACAAATATTACCCAATAACATGCAACTAAGCCAATGCTTTTATGCACATATGTACGTAATTTTTGAAATAATCCACAAGGAACAAAGCACACATATGGAAAATTTAGAATGAAACAATTCCTTCAATGGATGATCGGTAGGAAATCTAGGATAATCCTTTGTTATAGTCATATATCTACCCCCATTCATTTGAAGAAGTATCAAAATCAGACAAAAATACTCTATTCTCAAAAATTCATTATATGAGGATGTTTTTCATAGCAATAGTGAGATATTCATAATATATTAACTGCTCAATCGATTAAAACCTTGTTGAATTTCAGATATATGTCCCTCAAGCATTTCCATCCACCAACTCTGAATCCAATTGATGCTCCCATAACTCGACTGAGGATCCAGGCCACCAACCGGGAAGCAAACCTGAAACAAGGTGAATTGCGGATAAATATCAATCCATACTTCAGGGTGATTCCACATAGTAAGCGCATGGTACCATGAAACAAGAAACACATCACAGAAATAATAAATGATATTACAACTGTGCACTGAGAATAACTTAGTCCATTACGCAGAGAAATAAACAACAGAATAAATGAAGCAATCTTAACATACACAAACATTTAAAAAAGAATGATGAAGCATGCACTATAGCACAGTTCGTGTGCCGCAATGAAGAAAATCAAATCACCAGCTTTGCCTTATATGATCACTAATCAGAACTTAAATAATTGACTTTTTACAGAAATGTATATTGCTTTCTATTAGCTCAATAATAGATAGATTATATTTTTATGTTACTGGGTTGATGAGCTGCCAAGTACGAGGATGTATGGTAGTAGATCAAGTTGAATCTGAAAGGAGAAAAGCGTTCACATAATCATACATTTTGAGAAAGTACTGTTAAAACTTGACAAAGATTTTACAAATTATCAATGTCTTTATTAATAAGATTTCCAGAAGACTCATTTGTATTCAAGGGTTTCCACTCATGAGTTAAGGTTATAGATTTAACAAATCAGGCATCAGAAGGTTCTCAAATGTCCCCCAATCAGCTCAATGCCTTAGATTAAATCCAAAGTATAATCAACGTCATAAAGATATGGAGGTAGTCTAGAAACCAATTATAAGTATGTTTTCCAAATCCCTATATAAACGAAACTTCATCACAGCTTTTCTATGGATGGAAGGAATATTTTTAGTGTTGGGCCTTACAGCTTCTTAATCAATGGAATCAATATAGGTCTTTAGTCTGACAGATGGATTACATTTATTTATCTAAAGGTTCTGCTCCCACCAAAACCGACCATCAAATAGAAGGAAACGATAAACAATCAAAAGCCGACCACCCAGAAAAAAAATATGGTGCATTCTTCTCGAGAAGCATATGAGCTTCTTTCCTTCTTCAGGAGGTACAAATTACAATTGTCAGTGATTCAAAGAGCATTCCTCTTGTAGTAGACAAATTTCAAAAATATACACAAACAACCTTTCTCCCTGTAAAGAAGTATTCAGAATTTATTGTCCAGTGATTAATTCCTCATGAATCTTGTGTGCTCTATACTTCCACATTATTCAGTATCAAATGATTTTTTGATGTAACCTACTGCAGGAATTACTTAAAACCATTAGGATTATTTTACAGCTAGACATCATTTTTCATCCCAGTGATCCATTTGCCCACTTTCACATGGTGTACACAGGCAATTGGATACAAAACAGATAAACATCAGCGACAAAATAAATTTTTCTCAAAAGTTGTGTTTGGACACAAAAATGTAAAGAAATAAAAATAAGATATTTATTCGTTCTTACATTTTCCTCCTCAATTTTATACACAATTTTAAATAAAATCAATCATTACCATAAATTTCACTACAAAAGTCATTATCACCAACTAACGTATTTCTAACTACCCCACGTTTTCAACCATATATCACTATCCACTAGTTGAAGGAAGTCGAAATGAAATTATATCCAACAGCAGTCTTACACCTTCTTCTGTTTATTAAGACACTATGGAGCTGGGATAGCAGAATTCCTCTTACTAAACACATTTTGCTTCATATAAATTTCTAGTTTCAGACACAGCTTACTTTATTTAGGTAAAGTCACAAAATAATGACCCCAAGAAGAAAGTAGGGCACAGGAAAAGGACACTCAAAGCACAACAAACATCAAGTGCATTCTTCCTTCGCCATAAACATCATTTGCCTCGGACACTATTGCCCTTCAACACTATGAATAAGTGTTGAGAGTGGAACAATAAACAAGAGCTGGTAACACTAGGAATAAGTGTGAGAAAAGCACAATAAACAAGAGCTGGTACATCTAATTAGTGCAGCATTAAGAAAGTAACAGATAGTATTTTAAACGACTTCAAAGGTATGGATTAAGAACAAACTGAAGAGCCTACATTTTTTATGCCTAAACATTTCTCATATTCTCACTTCCAAACAGAAAAAATAATGTCAAATGCGACTTATCAAGGGGGAACCACATCTACTTGTGTGATTCATAGACACGTTCACTTAATTCAACGTGATCAGATACATCATTCACAACCTTGCACGAAATTACCACACCAAAAAAAAAAAAGCATAGAGTAAGAACTCATCAAGGATGACTTACATGAATGAAATCCATAGTACGATGGAGACAAAGAGGAATCCGAACAGGAACTTAGCTGGTGAAGCACCCATTTCTCAATCTATAATTCGCGTGTTGATCCTGCCTAAATTTTTCCGGTTCGCATGCTGCACACTTTCGCAGTGCATGTCATGAATTTAGGGTTTCGTCTACCCGGATTAGCGTCCGCGAGAGTGAAATTTAGGTTGAAGAACCGTCGATTGCATAGCCGATGACAAATTCATAGCCGAAATTTGGGGATTCGGATAGTCCGACGTTGATGGAGATTTTCTTGGATTGGCCGGAGGTCACAATGATGCCTTAGAATGGTCTTTGTTATCACGTCAGCTTCCGCGGATCAACCTAGAACTCTTGAATCTTTTAAGTTGCATTTTTTCACAACAATCCTCGTGTCTGTTCAGATCTCATCTGAGTAATGGGAGTTCATGCGAATATTCAAGGGCATTACTATTCACCGCCCCCCAAATTACTAGTCACCGCCCCCTTGGACAATTTTGCCCCTCTCATTTTTCGTAAACATCTCAGAGAAGTGTACGGTGAAATGTCGTCAAATTCCGAGGTACGAAAAAATTCGTGTCCGGACGTCGGTTCCGGACAGTTAAAAGCCCGTCCGGAACCGGCGGCCGGACGGCTTAAAGCCCGTCCGGAACCGGTGGCCGGACGGAGCAAATACCGTCCGGAAAGCACGGCCGGACGGACCGTGCCTGACCGGAACCGGCGGCCGGTCGGAACCGGTCCGTCCGGTCCGGCCGGCCGGACGGAATATTTTTTTTTTTTTTTTTAAATTATTATCATTATTATTATTAATTATTATTTTTATATAATTTATAATTTATAATAATTATCATTATTATTATTATTTATTATTCTAATTTTTAATATTTATAATTATTATTATTATTTGTTATTATAATTT